TAAGTTGTGGTCTTGTCTTCATTTGACATTGATAATGAATGCAATTGGAAACTAAGGTATAAATCGTTAGCTTATCAATAATGTTTCTACGTGTGTAGCATCTAAGTAAACATCTTTAATTTATGTATTCTTTGTTCACKAGTTGGTAAATGCAGCGATGGGTGGTCTTGTAAGACCAAAAAATATATATTTGATATTTGTATAAGCCAGCATCCTCGGGAACCCTGGGGTGGGTTCCCGAGGATGGCAAGCCAGCTGATTAAATTTTAAACCTAGAAGAACATATAATAATTGTGTTTCTATAAATGACTGCTCATTAATTTTGCCTATGTTTTTAACGTGGGTTGAGTTGGAAAACTTWAGACCAGTATCAGTTTCTAGTTCGTCAACGTTTAGGAATCTGATAAACAAAATTTCCTGTAAAGCTTGATTGTTAAAAACCTGAACGGCGCTTTAAATGCCATATTCCTCAATTAATAGTGCATTTTAATTGAATAAACAATCAGTGGTTACAGTAGTAATTGAATACTCTTTATTGTATATTGTATATTATTGTGTTGTGTTAAAAGTGGTTTATGTTTTTAGAATGGTCTAAAATAATGCATTTATCAGTTAAYTAAACAAAATATTSATAAACAAAAATAAAGCTAGYGAAYCATCAAATACACATGYRCACAGCTTTTAATAATTATAGTATTATAGCAATAGTATATTGTCCCATTTAGATTATAGGAAGAATGGTTATCAATAGAGTGAACGCACTTAATRCGTGCAACTGTACAAAATTTAAGTAGTTTACTAATTTGTACTAAAAGTGGACCTGAAACAAGACGGCATTGAATGCTTCATTTGAATCAATAGGMCGTTTGCATTATGACGTAACTTTACTACAACTACCAGAGAGCCTTGCGCATTTTCATTGTTATTCAGATTTTTAATCCCCTTGGAGATTAATAAAACAATTGGCACTAAYTGCATTACAAAAGAAAGTTGGCAAAGCATTCTGGTAGTTGTAGTAAATGACGCCATAATGCATATCGCCTATTCAATTTAATTTGCGTACCGCATACCCGATTTACTAAATACAACTAAATAGAACTATTTAGTTTGTACAGTTGCACGGATTAAGGGCGATCACTCTATGCTCATTTCTTATTGCAAAGATGCTCAATCGCGTTTTCTATGGTGGTGTCTCTTGTGATGGTAGTGCCGTCCTTCGTGGTGGTTGTGGTGGTGACGATGACGTCTTCTTCGGTGATGCTTTCGTTTCTTGTGTCTATTAACCTTTTCATCCAGTGTTTCAACAATGGGGTTCTCACTTAGATCTTTTTGGAGAATAGTGTAACCATTTATGTTTTCCAGTTCTTCAGGGCTGTTAAAGGTCATATCGTTGGGAGATTTTCTGTGGTGCTTGTGACGGTGATGTCTGTGGTGCTTCTTTTGTCTTCGATGTCCAGATTTACGGTCCAGGGAAAATACGTTATCGTTTATGTTGATATCTGAAACTTCACCAATACTCTCAGTTGTTAGTGGAAGCATTTCAATTTTTGGTTCGTCCTCTTCTAGATCCTCAGACGTTTTGTTGTGGCGTCGGTGATGTCTCTTTTTATGTTTCTTTTTATGTCGCTTTTTATGGGAGTGCTTTTTCTTGCCTGAACCTTCCTCATTCTCAGAACGTGAATGTTCCTCTGGAGCCTCTCCGTGTGTGTTGTKCTCTTCGGATTGATCTCCAACAGTTGTGATGAACCCATTTACTTCAACGAATCGAGAMAGATCGTCTKTAAGAAKTTGGCTTTCTGGATGATTTGAATCATGATTGTACACTTGGTTTGAWTCGTCTGCAGACTTTCCTTTGTGCTTTTGCTGAAGCTTTTTATGCTTTCCATGATGATGATGATGATGGCGTTTATGCTTGTGTTTTGTGTTATTCCTTGATTTGCCTTCAATACTTGTTTCTTCATGACTTGGCTTCTCATCAGTGTCRGCGTCAGTGTGCTGTTCAATTTGATTTTGTTCGGATTTTTTGGAAATCATTTTCTTTCCATCATCGTCGTCGTGGATGTAGTCGTWGGTATCATCTTCCTCGATGTTRTCTTCTTGYGTCGGTGTTGGCTCAGGCTGTTTTGCGTGGCTATTGTACCGTCGATAATSCCTACGTTGTTCTTTACCYAAGTCTATTTCTTCCTTTCTCTTTTCTTGCGAGAATGTTTGATCGGAAGGARCCCCCTGATGGTTTCCCATAAATCCAATTTTCACTTCAACAATTGTRTCTTSCGGACTTTGAGCTCCTTTATTTTGYMCCTCGCTGGATTCACGAACTGTTATGTCGGCGGTTTCTTTGGAGACATCCGATTCGCTYTCATTCTCTGTCAACAACTGATCAGATGCTTCGACCTTTTGAACAGAAGGCTCTACATTGATGGTTATCAAAGGTGGTGAAAGTCGCGGGAGAGCTTGTTCGTGAGGCGTATCTGTACCTTGAAGCTGGCCGTTGTGAATTCCCTCAATGACTACAGCCTGCTGTTCTTTAGGAGTATCATAAGTGCCTTCATGACTTACTTTGTTCCAAAAGGATTTGATTTGGATTGATTTTTGACTTTCCGTGTTACCTAATGCTTGTGGTCTTGACTTTGTCGATCTCTCAAGTAATTTTTGTGGTTTATTATTGTTCTTAGCGATAGGACGGCGTGAAAAGGTGAAAGGCTCTTGGTGCTTATAGTAATCTTCAAGAGATTTCTCGACCTTATTATTGATCATTTTCGCTGGATCCTGTTCTGATTGCTTACTGTTTGTCTTTCTTCTAGAGTCTTGGGCAAGTGCGGTCGCGATGTGCTGCTCTTCGGCTGTTATTCCTTCACCAAATCCAGATCCACTTCCTTGTGTTATATCAACAATGTTTGTTGA